AAATAAAATAAAATAAAATAAAATAAAATAAAATAAAATAAAATAAAGTTGCAGTTAAGGAATTACGCTGGTCATTCCTACATGGAATACACTTAAGCGGAAAGATACCTAGAATTGTTCTGGAGTGAGGCAGACTCTTAATAATAACAACAATAAACAACAACAATGGAGAAAAAAAATCACAAAATACAAAGACCGGCAAATAGAAGTAGGACAGCTGTGGCAAAAGAAAGCCAAGTTAATTCCAAGAGGCGCCTTGCGTGCAATCCCAAAACATCCTGAACACTTATTAGCATTGACAAAATCTCTATCAGTCAATTGCAAAAGGCAGCTTTAACAAGGACAGCTTAGATCTTTAACACCATCAAACAAGAACCCCAATATGTTGACCAACACTAATAATGATGATCACCAATAACAGCAGCAAACACTTGAAAAGGGTAGATGAATGTTTGGTTGCTTGGTTGGATGGATGGAGACTTTCCAAGTTTCCAAAACATAGCCAAGGTCATAGGCATTCCCAAACAAGGTGAAAGATACATGTTTCTTAAAGTCATAAAATGTCATGTATGTATTTGCCTCTACCATTAACATGAGGACACAAGTACTGCACAGTCTGCTTCAGCAGGTACAACTTGGTGCAAGTGTCATCGTGTAGATTATTATTGCTTGCTATAATGCCATCGGCAATCCATCTGTCCAACCATCCATCAATCCATCCATCCATTTACCTATCAATCCATCAATCCATCCATCCATCCATCCATCCATCCATCCATCCATGTAACCATCTATCCATCCACTCATCCACCCAGCTATCCATCCACCCACCCACCCATCCATCCATCCACTCATCCACCCATCTACTCATCCATCCATCTACTCATCCATCCATCTACTCATCCTCCAGGCATCTATCCAACCAAGCATCCATCCATCCATCCATCCAACCAACCAACCAAGCAACGATCCATCTATCCAACCAACCAACCACCCATCTCCCATCTACCCACCCATCCACCCATCCATCCTCTCCTGCATGATACCCACCTTAAAACGCAGGTGTAGAAGCCGCTGTCTTGGACTTCTGCTGTGTGAAACCAGATGGAGTCTTCATCCTTGTTGATCCTCCCTTCCGAGAAGATAATGGGCTCTTCGAAATCCCCTTTGTTTTTGTACCACATCAGACGCAGCCCTGTGCTTTGTGCCATGCTGTAGTTTGTGCGGATATAGCTGTAGAAAAGAGCGCATTTCACACGCACTGGCTCACCTGCCAAGGCCATATACTTCTTGAGGTCCACCAGCCAATCAATGCAGCCATCCACTGAAAAAAAAAAAGAAGAGCAAAATGTCATCCCAATTGTCTGGTTTCAAGACCCAGCTGGCAATTGATCCCAGATCTCTTGATATTTCATAGTTGAGCATGACTTGTCTAAAAATTCTTAAAACAGGACCTGACTGCGTTTCTGAGAACTCCGTCATTTTAAGATATCCCTTCTACCACTTCATTATTTTTCTCAGTTTTTAGTTCCTTCAAAGTCCTTCCAATCTCTGGCTTCAGGGACTAATTTCCAAATCACAGCATATCAAATATAATTACAATACGGTCACTTGTACTCAGACCAGTTGTGCTAAATTTCCATTTCAAACCCATTATCGTGTATAGTTTTGAGAAAGGTTAAGTTCAAGCGACGTCTGATGGGGAGCTGAGAACCTGCAATGTGCTTAAGAAAAAGAAGCAAAAAAGTCAAGTACTGTACGTATCTTACTCGAAAGCCAAATTAAATCCCCACTGTAAAAGTTGGCAATTAAAAATTCTACAATGCGGAGCTTGGAAAAAGCTGGACACGACTTCCTTACTGCTCAATGAGTAGATGATTTCTCCTGATAACTTCCCCATATTCACACAACTTCCCCCGATGCTTACACATGAATGTGGGGGGACCAGGGGTGGGATTCAATCAGCATTACTACCGATTCAGTGACTATATTTTGCTGCGTGCATGTGTAAAAAAACCTTCAGCTGTGCCACCCAGACAGCCGAAAACTGCTGCGCGCAGGTAAGCAGCATTTGAAAAGCCTCTTTTTTCCTTGCTTTTTCAACCTCAGCTGTGCCACACAAAGCAGCTGAAGTTGAAAAAGCAGGAAATAAAGGACAGGTAAGAGCCCAGGCAGGTGGGTGGGCCAAACAGCAGCAAACACAGAACAGGTTTGGTGTCTGCTGCTCTTCCGAGCTACTGGCTCTATAGAACCATGCAGAACCGGTAGCATTTTGTGGGGGACCCACAAAATTTTAACCCTGCAGCTCTTACTCTGTTCTATTTATGGATCAGATCTGTTCTACAGTTTCTTTTTATGACATAGCCAACATCAGAGGGAAAATTTGGGAAGTTCTAACAGCTCTGCCAAGAACACTGTGCTATACAATTCCTGAATCCGTTTTGATTCAAGGTTGATGTAGAAAGAATTTTCAAAAATTGCATTCGAGTTATCATGCCTTGCTCGTCCTTCCTCATTCTTTTTTCCTTCATTGTTGTGTCATAAATACCTCCTGCAAGCCCTTCTAATCATGAACAGGGATGATGGATTGCAATGCACATATAATCCTTTCACAATGGTGCCTCTACCCTTCCATGCACAAATATTGTCCTGAGGAGAAATGAGGCACTATGTGTCTGTGGTGAATAACACAGCACACTTAGTGAATTGCCCATAAAGGTATGGCCAGTATCTTAACAACTGTTTGAAGTTACAACGGATCCCACCCAAAGCTACTTACAACCTGATTTTAAAGTTACAATGGCCACACACATACCTAAGATCATGGAATTGCATTTTGGATGTTTGGCAACTGACTTGACTTTAAAAATGTTTGCAGGCTCTTGCTATCACATGACTATGGTTTTTGACTTCTTAAACCATCTACTTCCGTTTTTCAGCAAAAAAAAAAAAAAACACCCTTGGGTACAATAGGTTTGCTTAGCAACCGCAGAATTTGCTTAACAACCATGGCATTTATATAGACTACATCAAACTACATCAAACTGCATCAGACTACATCAATCTCGTAATTAGCTGTCCGTCGGTGAAAAGGGGTGGTGCAGTGGCTCAGTGGTTAAGATGCTAGACTTGGTGGCTGGAAAACCAGCAGCCAGGTTCGAGACCCAAGCGTTGTGTGACGGGGTGAGTTCCCATCCTCACCTCAGCTCCTGCCAACCAGCAGTTCAAAAGCATGTAGGTGTGAGTAGATAAATAGTACCACTTTGATGGAAAGGTAACAGAGCTCCGTGACATTATGCTGGCGGAAATTGTCCTTCAACGCACTGGCTCAAGCAGGGGTGGAATTCTACTGGTTTGCACCTATTCGCTAGAACCGGTTGTTAACATTCCAAGCAGTTCTGAGAACCGGTTGTTAGAAGAAATTACTGGCCTAATCCTGTAAGGAAGGCAGGAAGGAAACATTCTGGTGTTGCTTACAGAAACTGCCTCTCCGTTAACCCTTATTACATTCTTGGCAGGACTAGACTTCCTGCCTCAGGAACTTCTCTGGAGTTTTTTCCCCCTCCTTTGCTGGTACTTTGCTTGTGTGGAATGACCATTCAAAGTTACAATGGCACTGAAAAAAGTGACTTATGGCCGTTTTTCACACTTATGACTGTTGCAGCATCCCCACAGTCATGAGAGGCCAGGCGAGGAGATGCGTGCCTCGATGTGAGTGATGTTGAGTTGGCCACGCCCAGCCAGTAACATGACCACCAAGCCACGCCCAACAACTAAGCCACGCTCACAGAACCGGTTGTTAAAAAATGTGAATCCCACCCCTGGGTGAGTTCCCATCCTCACCTCAGCTCCTGCCAACCTAGCAGTTCAAAAGCATGTAGGTGTGAGTAGATAAACTGGTACCACTTTGGTGGGAAGGTAACAGAGCTCTGTGACATCATGCTGGCGGAAATTGTCCTCCAACACACTGGCTCGAGGCCTCAAAATGGAGATTGCCCCCATAGTCAGCAATTAGCGGAGTCAAATCCGCAGGGCCTCCTTCCCAATGAAAAGGAGTTTGCAAGTAAGAGACCAAATTCTACTGGGATTTACATTTTTGCATAATGATGTCTTCACACAAACAATGCCATTTGCATTGACTGCATCCCTGAAACACTATTTGATTTGCCCGATTTTGGAGAATAATGGATACACTCACCCATTAGCTCACTCAAATGATATTTCATTAAACTACAGTTAAGCATTGGAAGTAAATTATTCATAAAACCTAACTTCCTTTCTCCTGGGAATAACTTTTTCTGATTCTTCTTTATACTGTGCATTAGGATAGTACACAGGCTATAAATATTTTATTAAATTAAATATTTGCTAGTCTCTTCGTGTGTCGTGCATAAAAGACCATTAAAAAAACTTCCCAGCAAAAAACATAAATTAAGGGAAACATATTTAAAAAAAAAACACTGGGAGGTTTCTGAATGAGGTTAACAAGGGATTAAATATTTATTTTAGATGCTTAAAGAACCTTGTCTGAATGGCTTATAAAACAGATCTTGCCAATAATGCTTTAGATTTTTTTAAAAGGCACAATTTTGTATTCATCCAGCTCTTAGGCTGAGTAGCAGATACGATTTGTGTAAAGGAAAGTTTGTTCAAGTTGATCCTTGAGAGACTCCACACATACAAAGCATTCTCCTTGTTGCTTTTAAAAACCAGACAGCAGAAATGTTTGCTCTCCTCATAACATTTCATCATTCGTAATTTTGACCCTGACAATAAGTGACTTCCTAGTCAGTCTTTGGATTGTGCAGTCCAGAAGCTTGTAGCAATGGAGACTATAAACATATAGGAGGAGGGGGGGGGGAGGGGGGGAGAAGAAGAAGAAGAGGAGGAGGAGGAGCAGCGGAGGAGGGGAAGAAAGAGGGGAAGAAGGAGGAGGAGAAGGAGGGGAAGAAAGAGGGGAAGAAAGAGGAGAAGGAGGAGGAGGAGGAGGTGGTGGTAAAGGAGAAGGAGAAGGAGAAGGAGAAGGAGAAGGAGAAGAAGAAGAAGAAGAAGAAGAAGAAGAAGAAGAAGAAGAAGAAGAGGAGGAGGAGGAGGAGGAGGAGGAGGAGGAGGAGGAGGAGGAGGAGGAGGAGGAGGAGGAGGAGGAGGAGGAGAGGAAGAAGGAGAAGGAGAAGGAGAAGAAAGGACAATGTATCTCCATATTAATAAACTTCCTTTTGCATCAGTCAAGACCAAATATTAGTAACTTTGTTTGGTGCCAAACTCAGCAGCTAATGATGGAAATAATTAACAGATTGGGGTGCATCAGCTCAAAGAGGAACGATGCAAGCTATGAATCCTCATTGTTTCTGCCTTGTTAGAAGCTTTTTGTATTTGTTTTCTGGCTTAAACCTCTGATGACTCCAGAGGATATAATTACAAACAGCAACGTGTGCTGAGAAGCTGACGGAAGACTATTTATAAGGGAGCATGTAACATCTGATGACATTTTGGGGGAGGGTGGGAGAAGAAACCCTCGCAATGCGCTTAGATGAAAATCATAATGATCAAACAGAAGCTAATCAAAGTGACAATGTCCTCTCTTTTCTACAATGTCATTTTCTCTTGTCAAAAGAACACCAAGCAGGCTTCTGTTTTACACAACTCACACATGGCCTCAAATCTAGGTCAAAGCTGTTCCAAACACATTTGCGGAGATGTTGAATGGTGGCAGGGGAACAACATGGCAGCGCCAGGAAGACCCTAGGTCTACAGGTTCTGTGGCCTCAGGGTCAAACATTGAGTTCCACATCTAATCTCTTGGGGAAAAAAACCTGACAGAAAGAGCTGGAAACCTTGGAAAAATTCAACCTTCTCAGATACTCCAGGAGGAGAGATCTCCCACAACAGCACTGAAAAGCTAGGAGAGGTCAAGGAGATACCGTAGTGTTAAAGAGTTCGAGCAAACTAGACCTAGTCAAGAGAATGACAGTGAGGACAATCGGGCGATTCTGTTTAGGAGGTGTTGTGGCCAGGGGTGGGATTCAATTTTTTTAACAACTGGTTCTGTGGGCATGGCTTGGTGGTCATGTGACTGGCTGGGCGTGACCAACTCAACATCACTCACATCGAGGCACGCATCTCCTCGCCTGGCCTCTCATGACTGTGGGGATGCTGCAACAGTCGTAAGTGTGAAAAAAGGGTCATAAGTCACTTTTTTCAGTGCCATTGTAACTTTGAATGGTGACTCCGCACAAGCAAAGTACCAGCAAAGGAGGGGGAAAAAAACTCCAGAGAAGTTCCAGAGACAGGAAGTCTAGTCCTGCCAAGAATGTAATAAGGGTTAACGGAGAGGCAGTTTCTGTAAGCAACACCAGAATGTTTCCTTCCCGCCTTCCTTACAGGATTAGGCCAGTAATTTCTTCTAACAACCGGTTCTCCAAACTGCTTAGAATGTTAACAACTGGTTCTGGCGAATAGGTGCGAACTGGTGGACTCCCACCCCTGCAGTTAGGTCCTGTGAAGAGCCATTGCAGGAACTGAGTATATTTATACTTGAGAAGTAGAAACTGAAAAGGGTTATGACAGCGTTCTTCAAGTGTCTGAAGAAGATCAAAATGTAGAAGGTTGAGACCTGTTCTTTGTGGTGCCAAAAATGTAAGACCCAGCATCAACATAGAGAAACGTTGATGCTACAGTTAAATTCAAGGCAATGAGGAAATGTGAACATAGAGAAAGGCAGATGGTGATTGAAAGTTAGGAAAAGCTTACGCTGCAGACAAAAAAAAAAGGAGTCATACTGAAATAGCTATAAATCACAAATGTAATATGTGTAGGAGAAGGAGTGGAAGAGCTGGGGTGGAGTTAAAAGAGCAATCATCCTAGAATCCCTGCGTAGCTACAAGAGGACTTAAGTCCAAC